CAAGTCATTATTTAAATTTAATCAAATAGGAGGACAGCTCACTGTAAGTCATTTTTTAAATGATAAATTTTTACATAATATTTTAAATAATTATCATTTTAAATGATATTATGTTGCTATATTTTAATTGAAAGAGTAGACAACAGAAAATGGTGTACCATTTACATCAGTTAGTCCAATCTGTAGGACTAAATCTTGAAAGAACAGAGATTGCTTTGAGTAAAGAACTGATTGGGTTATAAGCTCAAATTCAACTGGAGCCAAGATCAGCCACTTTTAAAGTGTTATTATGGGCAAGTTACTTTGTTAAATATAGGTTTTCTCACATGTAGAGTAAAAATTGTAATCCATACCTCAGGATTAAATAAGAGATCTTGTCTTAGATACAAACTGATCAATAAACATTGTTATCAACAATAATTAGCCAAATATTTATGTGAATAAACATATTCCCAATAAAAATAACTTAGCCTCCCAGATTATAATGAATTTATAGAAGCATGCTAATTTATCCTGTTTTTTTATGAGATAATATTCCTTTTCAACCTTGATATACTCTAATTCCAGAACCTCATGAAGAGCCATACCCCTGTCCATGCACACACATGCAACTGGACCCATTGTCTTTTTAAACTATAGAAATGAAACAAATTATCATTTTGCTTTTATTCACAAATATGCATTAATGTGGTCTAGTGCCGTAATTTTGTGAGCTATTCTCATTTGGGGCTTTTATCATGGAGTTGAAATAATCTCCTTCCCAGATTAACTCTCCACAGATGTCTTTTAAAAAATTGAGATCCAGCTTTGGAGAGTTAGTAGTAGTTTAAAACTTTAGGCTTCTGCTTTCTATTTAGCTGGGGATAATACAGTTTATGGTTAATTCAAATGCATAACATCTCCTAGTTTTTTGGGTCACAGTGTTGAGGAATGGACTTGCTGCATAATGATAGGGGATTAGGAGGACATACCATAAATTGAGCTTTCTCTTTGTTATATTACTTTGTCTTATAAAGCACACTGGTGATATAAGGTTAAGGCCTTTTCTAATGATAACTTCATTGTTTTGTAAAACACATGGTTATTGAGAACACAAATTCTTGGACCCCAGCTCCACACAATGATCCATAATATACCAGAGGAGCTCCTAAGAAATTACATTTTCTGGAGCTCATGGTAAAGCTTGAGACTCCCTGATTGGGACCATACAATAACACTTGAGTGTCAAGTGGCCTTGGGTGGCAAGGCTGAGGAAAGCTTTGGATTAATGTTGCAAACCTTGGGTGCTCATCTGGATTCTGCCTTTTCCTGGTTGCTTGATATTTTATAATCATTTAACTTCTGTGAGCGTTTATTTTCTCATGTTTATCCATCAGGATTGTTGTAGGAAGCGGATGTGACAGGGTATATGAAAGCACTTTTTAATCTGTATCTTTCCATATGAACATAAGATATTATTATTATTTTGATGATAATTAGCATAAAATGTTTAAATAATGACCTAAATGACCTAGGAGTCATATATTTTCCAAAATAACATGCAACATTTAAAAATCACCTAAGTGGCAAAATAGAAAAATGCTTTACTGAATACCAGTAGGGTAGAAATCAACAAAGAATGCAGAATTGCAGGAGCCAGCATTTGAGATTTGAGTTGGATCTGAATTGGTCTGAGTACATACGGGAAGAGTTCTGAAGCAAAGTGGAGTTCAATAAGACAACAGCAGGGCAGAGAAATTAAATTACACTGAGAACAGATGGAAAATGAATGCCTATGCCTGTGTCTACCAAATAAAGACCTAGAAGCCATAAAGACAAAAAACTGAACATAAATCCCACATGGATGCTGCAGCTGGAGCAGTCAGCTGTACCGTGAAATGAACAAGAGAACATGAAAGTTCACATTTTTTAATATTAGCCTAGGGAAGACCTCTTCAGGGCTCTGAATCTACTTTGTCCCTTCCTTTAAAAATAAAAAAAAAAGACAAGCATGTATGTAACTAATTTTTTGAAAAGTATAACTTTTAATCACAGCACCGAAGACTAGGAGGATAAAATGAAGGAGCCCTACAGTGAATACTTTCTGGTTACTGGAGGGTGAGCATGGAATAACATCACAATGTGAGGCCGTCATGTAGGCTGTCATTCGGCTGTGCAAGAAAGGGGTCATTCCCACTACTCTTCACATCTCCCGAAATAACGTGCATCCTTTCATCATTCATTCATTCAATATGCACTTTTCAGTACTTTCTAGTGCGCTAGATCCTCTGCTTAGTAAGTACTGGAGGGAGAAGAAAGTGCAGGACAGGTATCTTCCTGTCTGTAAGTGATGGCTTGCTGACCCATGCAGCATTTTCCTACTGTGGATTGTTAGCAAAAGTGGCCACAGTTCTTCCCCTCCCTATTGCCTCATCCCTTTGCAATGTGACTGCAGATCCTATGGGCGAGGCATGGAGTACTTTTTCCCACCCCTTGAATCTAGGTTGACATGGTGACTTTACTTGACCTGTAAAAAACATGGAAGTAATTATCATGCATTTGCTGTGATCCTTGGAATCTAATATATGAATGGATTCTTTTAAAAAATAAAATAATAAAAAGCAAAGCAAATCCAAGAAAGCGTGGGAATGACTTCGTACTGGTTCCTGCCATAGACCTCAATAACCCTTCTTCTCTTTTCTTTCTCAGAACTGGTGGCTCCCCTTATGATATGTACTACCATGCAGAGGAAGAGAGCCCAGGTGGAGCCAGATGGTCTTGCTGAGGCCATTCTAGGTCATTCTGGCAGCTGAGTGCAGAGTGAGCCCAGCTAAGACAGGAGGGATGCTCTAGTCCAGCCCAGTTTGAATCATTAGTCTATAGAAATATAAACTAAATAAATGCTGCTTCAAATCACTAAAGTTTGGAATTGTGCAACAGAAGCTGATTGAGCAGCCCTTAGCTATGGAAGTTTATTTTTGGCACAGAATTTTCTTATATGATTTATCAAATTACCTTTGTAACTGCCAAATCGCCACTTCACTTTGCGCAGTACAGACATGGTCTCAGGGTACAGTTGTCAGAGTACAGACACCCTGGGAAGGTTTGATATTGGATCTCTGATCTGCAGAATATGAAGTTGACTAATGCACTTAAAATGTGACATATATTTGTATAGTAAAACATATTTCTTGGAGAAAACACAAATACACAGGCAGAACATAAACACCTAAAACCAATATAAACTTACAACAAACACTTAAAAATTTAATGCAAATCAAATTATCTTTGTTTCCTAATATGATGTCCCATGATGTAAATAAAAACCAGGAAATAAGTAAAAAGAAACCAAACAGCTGTTTGTCAGATTCTCAATTTGTACTTCTAATCGAATAAATCTTATGGAAACAGCCATAAAGTCTCTGAGTTCTCCAAATGACCTCATTATTTTGATATGTCATTGAAACTCTGATCAGAGGCTTCTAAATTGTTCCAGTTGTCTGCATGTTACTGCCAAAATTCTAATGATGACACATCAGTAGAGATTAGTGAAAGAGATCTTTGATTTATCCTAATTTTCAAACATGTCAGGATGCCTTTTCCTCTTTTCCTGGAGTCTTCCTTCTCTGTCCAGCTCTCCCAGTTGGGTATTTTGGGAAAGCAGCCAATTCCCGGGTAATGTGTTTCTGCTGTTATCTGACACTGATACTGCTTCATGGAGGCCACCACAAAGATAAGCCCTAATTGGATGCATTTTTAAAGAAAACTTAGAACTTCTCCAATTAGCTTCTTTTCTTCTGTATCTGACTGTGCAAGAAGCACACACTCAGGCGGAACTGCTGAGCTGGAAGGGATTCAAGGACAGGGTCTGGGCTACTGAAAGACGATGACGCCGAACTCAGGAGAAAGCGCCAGCAGACATGCTGGGAGTGCTGTTTCCCAAAAGTGAGACAAGGGAATGGAGCTGAGAAGGTTAGATATGGCAGGAGGCCCTGGCAGTAGCACGTGGAAGGAGGAAGAATCTGTAGCCCCTAAAGCAAAGAGAGTCAATGTTTGACAAGGGCCCTCAGTTTGCACCAATAGGAATATTTAACTCCTCTGCAGAACATGTTAACCCAAGCTTAGAAGTGAGAGTTTTAAATTGGGTTGGAGAGAATATGTTTAAACCCTTCCCCTCTTTAAGTGGCTCTAGGTTTTGACAGCAATGGAAGAGGAGAGCTGCTTAGTAAAAAGAGCAGATACAGAAATCCTGAGGTGAGAAAAAAATTAGATAAAAGAAGCAAAATCTGAAACCATTTCTTTCTGGCTTTTGTTTCTGAAATGGAATTAGGAGTGAGGTATAAGTGAATAATGTCTCCTTGGATGGAAGTGGGTCTACCAGCATTACTACATGCCTTTGAGGGCATGTGAGGTCTGTGTTCCTTGTAGCAGTACTTAATAACAGGGGTATACAGATTCTTGGACAGGTCCATCTGAGCCATATTTCATTAATGGTTAATCAAAAACTGTGATCCTGGGCGGGACCGGGTGGTGGTAGTGGGGCAAACAAGGACACAGTGAGCGAGGCACTAATCCCTTCTCTTTAACCACAGAACCAGAGCAGCAGTGACTTTTGAGAAGTTCCAAGGGTACTGAGGTAGTATCTGTGACATCTATAACATTTCTTTGGGAAATGATAGGGATTCTAGATCAAGATCACTTCTATAATATGATAAAATCTTAAATTTTGCATAGAAGCAAAAGTCATGAAGATAATAATTTTTTAGCAGCTTTATGGATTTGTAGTTGGCTTATGTTTATACCTGAACAATACATGCAGCCAAACACATGTGTGCCATATATAACAAAGCCATTCTGTGGCATTGTGATCACAATCTGCTCCCCTCCCCCTCCATTCTCATAATGAATTGCAATCCTCTAGTTACTGATCTCCTTATAATGATTTAAAATCTTGGACTCCTATGAAACTCTAATTTTTACATCATCCTCAGTAGGTTTATCTAATTCTAGAAACTGCATACCTGATGATTAGTCCTATCCACTGTATTGGCTGTGGAGGGGTGGTCTCTAGTGTTCTGACGAACTCGAGTGGAGTTTTGTTGCTCAATGGTGGAGGATGTTGGGATACAGAACTCTCTGAAGCATCGCTTGAAGTTTTCATCCAGAAATGCATAAAGGACGGGGTTGAGGCAGCTGTTTGTGTACCCAAGAGCAATGCAGAAGTGCCACGAAACTGTCTGGAAAGTAGTTTCTGGGATGTTGATCAATGCTTTAATGATGACATAAATGTGAATTGGAGTCCAGCAGACGATAAACACAGCCACAACCACCAGCACCATCCTGGTGATTCTTCGCAGGTTCCTGTCTTTTTCTTTGGAGCCTGAGAGCATGCGGACGCTCTTGAGGCGAAGGATCATCAGCCCGTAACACACTGTGATGATGAGGACGGGCATGATGAAGGCAAAAATGAAGACACAGATCTTCAGCAGGTTTTCCCAATACCAGGTTGGGTGAGAAAATGTTAGTGTACAATCTATGGAGCCTAGACGAAGAGGAAAAAGGGGCAGCAACACTTGGTTATAACATCAGACAATGTTTTAATTGTGCTTATCTTGCCATTAAAGGATATTACTGCACAAGACAATAAGAAAAGATTTAAGAAATTATGGGAAAAAAACTTAGCTCTCTGTTGATTTTCAGGGAGTGTCTTATTTTTCTCTAAATTTCTGATTATTTTTGGTCCACTTTGACCACATTAAGCTTCCATTCAGAGAACAATTATGGACTTCTGACCATGAGATAGACTCTCTATAGAGTCTACATTGATATAAAACTATAATAACTACCTAATTCATTAGAAGGTTTCAGCTAATGGTCATTTTCACTCTGATTTTTTTGATTGGTAATTCATTTATCTGCTATTAGATCTATAAAGATGTGTTTATCATGTAGGCAGCCACTTGAATTTTCAACACAATCCCCAAGGTGATTTTTAATTTAATCTTTAATTACTCTTAGATGAGCAATATTCTTATTTCCATACCATTTTTATGATATGAGTACAGAAAAATCAGGGACAAATAGATCATATAGTTGGTGAACTTATAAAGAAAATTTCCTTTTTCAAAAATATTCCAAGACATTTTGCTAGAGAGAATAATTAAAATTACATTTGACTCTCAGGCCAGCAACATCACTTACCATGCCTGTACTTTGTTGTTGCCATGAACATTACAGGCAGACCAATGGCTGAAGAGAGGATCCAGTTGCAGACATTGACAATTTTGGCATTTCGGGGTGTACGGAAATCCAGGGCCTTGACGGGGTGGCATACTGCAATGTAGCGATCAACACTCATGGTGCAGAGGGTGAATATGCTGGTGAACATATTATAGTAATCTATGGAGATCACAATCTTGCAAAGGATGGTTCCAAATGGCCATGTGCCCATTAGGTAATTGACACTCTGGAAGGGCAGAGTACTGGTTGCTAAGGCGTCTGCCAGAGCAAGGTTGAAAATATAGATGTTGGTGGCAGTCTTCATTTTGGTGTATCTAAGAGAGAAAGAAAGAACTATGACAGAGCCAGTGAAGACACCAGTTTGAAATATAGCCTGGCTTCCAACAAGATTATATTGTTTAGTGGAAAGCTTTCAAGATTAGATATAGAACTTTTTAAAAAAACTACTCTCTTGGCTATTTACAACCATGGCCTGTGGACTAGATTAACAATTGCCTCACTTCTTAGTTTTCTATCAGTGAACTAGTTATAATAATAGCAGCCAGGGTGCTTTATTGAAATTGTTTTCAATATGCCACTCACTGTGATAGGTGTAATAAATGCAGAGAGCTCCCAATCAAGTAGTATTGACAGAGACTGGATAATTCTCAATATACAAAAGAAATATTTAAATATATAGATATAATTAAAATTATTGAACTCTGAAATAGTGCAAAGATATGTATAGACACATACAGGTACTCATACACACATGCACATTCAAGCACACAGGGTCATCTGCAATCATAGAGAAGAGCTATCCAACAGAGAATAAGGCAAAGGAAACAGGAGCAGTAAGATGTGGAAGGCATTCTGAAAGTGCAGATGCCCAAGTTTAATCTTCAAGTGTAAGGAAGGGTATGAATTAATCAGTTTTGCTAGGAGCAGGTCATTCAAGCAGTGAAAAACAAGAGAACCCCAACAAAAGCATCGAGTTGAAATGGCATGATGTAAGAGTTTGGTACTATTAATGAGTAAAAATCTACCAGAGAATGGAAATGGATATGACAGAGGAAAAATATGAGGGTATTTCAAAAATGTTGTATAAAAATGGAATAAAAAGATAATCCTTTTTTTCCTGCAAAAATGTTGAAATCCACACATAATTTTCCCACAGTATGCATTTTCCAAAGTACAAAAATAAACACCAAAATTAAAACTGAGTTGAAGCTTTTAGAGTAACTGACCTCTATTTCAAGTTGTTAATTTTGATTCTGTTGGTGAGCAGCTTTCTTCCAAAAGGCACAAGACTCATTTTTGTCAGATGATTGTTGATTCTAGATCTCCATGATCTACTAGCGTGATTGACTGCATGAGTCACTTCCTACCAAACAAACCTTACATTTCACATCTTATCTTTAATAGAGTGTTTATGTTAAACAGTCAGGTTCTTTACAGTCAGGTTTCTGACTCATCACACGTCTAACTTCTTCAGATTTATCTTGGCACCATGCACTTTCAATGTATGACTATTTCCACTAAAAAGAACCCCTCATTTCCTCCCTCAGAATAATGTGTTGGTGAAACAAAATTGGGTTAAGGTCCTACATCACAAAAGGCAAAGCAGGGTAGAAAGAAATACATATGTCAATTAGCTTGATTTAACCACTCAACAATGTATATATATTTCAAGACATCCTGTTGAACACCATAAACATATACAATTTTATCTGTCAACTAAGTAAGAATAAAGAAAGAAAAATAAATATTTAACTACAGAAAGTAATTCAGTGGGAATTTTACAGGAAAAATGGTGATGGTGTTTAAATCTCCCAATTTATTCCAAAAGCCTCCATCTAAAGATAGATGATTCTGATTTCCATTACTCATGCTTTGAATCACGGCAACATATAAAAAGGCATACAGCAATTTCTTAAATGTAAGAACGAGGATTATACAAGACTCAAGTCTTGGAAATTTCAACTGTCTCCAAGGTATACTCAAAGATTCAATCTAAAGAGACGTTCTCATCAGAAAAGGGGTAGTGTATTTAGCAACACATGCTTTTATCATTCTGTTCTGTTCTTATATGGTGGTATGAGCATTGCCCTCAGCAGAGCTAAAGGAAGGATCTGAGTCCTACTATAAGCCATGTGCAGGAGTTTACAAACCAAACTTATCAATGAACCACAGGTGAGCTGAAGGAAGGATTAACTTGGCCTAAGCACAATTCTGGCTGTTAACACACAATCCTACTTCCATTCTCTGTGGGTTAACTGTGCCATGAATGTGATTAATGGCGAGGTGGGCAAAGTGGACTGAGAGGGATATGCAGCATTTCCTTAAACAGTCTCATCTGGACTCACAGGCTGGTCCTGATCTTGATGGTTTCTATGATGCCTCCAAATTGGTTCTACTCCTGTAGGCAGTACTTCAAGCTATGTTTTTAAGCTTTCAAATTATTCCATTGAAATTTTTGTTGCAAGTATATTTCTTTAAATGTGTCCTAGGAGATTGAGTAGATTCTTTTATAAAGACTTTATTTATTTATTTTAGAGGTAGAGTTGCAGACAGTGAGAAAGAGAAACAGAGAGAAAGGTCTTCCATCTGCTGGTTCACTCCCCAAATGGCTGCAGTGGCTAGAGCTGAGCCGATCAGAAAATAGGAGCCAGGAGCTTCTTCTGGGTCTCCCAGTTGGGTGCTGGGGTGCAACCACTTGGGCCATCTTCTATTGCCTTCCCAGGCCTTAGCAGAGAGCTGGAGCGGAAGTGGAGCAGCCAGGACTCAACCAGTGCCCATATGGGATGCTGGTGCTGCAGGTGAAGGATTAACCAACTGTGCCACAGAGCTGGCCCCAGAGTAGATTTTTTATGAACCCAAATTACTATGCATTTTTTTAAAAGTGTGTTCTTGTAGGACCTTTAATGTTTGACCTAATACAGTGATTTTATTTAGCTTCCAGATACTGTATTGGGGAAGAGCAGTATTTTATTGACAGCTCACTTGCCTTATGTTACATATTTTCCTTTTATTTGTAAATGTCCTTTTTATGATTATAAAACAATTCCTATTTATCTTCAGACCCAAGCTTCACACATTCCCACAACTATCACCACTTACCAAATCTTTGATTTTGAACAACTTGTACCAATTGAAGCTGCACTAAATAAATCATTTATGTCTATAAGATGGGCTTTGCAATTTATTGTTTTTTAGTTTTTTCATTAATTATTTGAATTGTATGACTCTATCTAAGTTCAGAAATGCAACAGACAAAGGAAAAGAAGAAAAACATATTTTAGAATCCAGCCTGGAGATTTTGTACCATAGCAGCTCTTCACATTGTCCAACCACCTTTATTGGAGTTCCAAATAGAGCCAACTGGGATGTACAGAAGGCTGTCTCCCTTTTTAGGGTTGATTTTTCTGCTCTTTCATGTTACTACTAAATGAAACAAAGAAATATATCTCTATGAGTCCCTTTTATTATTTGCTTACTAATTTGGAAGTCAGAGTTACAGAGAGAGAGAAAGAGAAGGAGAGACAGAGACAGAGATCTTCACTCCCCAATGACTACAATGGCCAGGGCTGAGTCAGGCCAAAACCAGGAGCCAGGAGCTTCTTCTAGGTCTCCCACATGGGTTGAAGGAGCTCAAGGGCTTCAGACATCTTTTGCTGAATTCCTAGCCTTTTAGCAGGGTGCTGGATCTAAGTGGAGCAGCGGGTCATGAACGAGTGTCCATATGAGATGCCTGTCACTCCCCCTCTTCATGGAGGAATGACACTAAACCTGCCTAGGCTTCATATCCGAGTCACGGCACCATTATGTCACTCCCCGTCTTCGTGGAGGAACGACACAGGACCCTGCACTGTTCTTTTGTCTGCTCGGCCCTCCCCGGGTTTGCTGCTGGTTCTTCCCGGGTGGGCTACTGTCCCTTCCACCTCCGTGGAAGGGCGGTTCCCCCTGCCACATTCCCCACTTCCGCAGGGGAGCGGCACACCGCCGGCCGGCTCTCTCGGGGGCTGCACAGGTGTTCCTTCAGATAGATGTTCCTCTTAGATGTTCCTGGTGCATGCCGTCTCTCTCCTCCTTTATAGTCCTCCTCCGCCAATCCCAACTCGGCTGCCCACATGCCGAGTACGCTGCTCTCCTCCAATCAGGAGCAGGATCAGCTCCTGGAGGTCATCACTCAAGTTGGCAAGAGGCAGCTGCGTAGAAGCTGTTTTCTCCTCTCCCAGCGCCATATTGTGGGAGAGCAGATGCATAGAATAAGTCTTAATTCCAGTAACTCAGTCCAGTCCGGGTTGCTCCCCACAATGCCAATATAGTAGGTGGTGGCTGAACCCACCTTGTCAGAACGCTGGCTCCAGTGAGCCCTTTCATGCAATCTATATTGTACTTGGACAGGTGTACCTCTTGCACTTGGCATGATTCTTATATTCACTTAGACTTACATGGATATCCACAATTTTCATGGAGATGAAACTCTTTTAAATAGTCTGATTAAGTTGTTAAATCCATTGAAATGAATCCATTCATTCTACATTCCATATTGTTATTTAGATGAAGAAAGTGATCAAATGAGTTTCTACATGGATTCTTTCATTTTTTATTTTTATTTTTATCCATTCAATTCTGATACTCTAGAGGTGTGTGTGTGTGTGTGTGTGTGTGTGTGTGTTAGGGAGAGAGAGAGAGAGAGAGAGAGGGAGAGAGAAAGTTATAAAATAATTAAAACTAAAACCAGTGATTATACTCTCACTTAGTATTAACAGAAAGAGACCATTTATTAGTTTAGTATCTTTTGTTATGTTCTCTGCTGGCTTAGTGAAGGAGAGAACAGTGGATAACTCAATTTATGTTAAATGTTCTAAAACGCTTCATTAACATTGATTTCAAAATAATGTCATGAAGTCATTTATCAACTTTCTAATGAACTAATATTATTAGTGAAGGCAGCGTGTAGTGACCTCCGAATGTGAACCCAGCAGAAGCAAAATGACTATTGCTTGCTAGGTTGCCTCAATAAAGAAGATAGAGAGACGCTTCCAGGTAAATAAATAAAAAGATATCTCCTTCCAATAGATCCTCTGGATGCTCTCTGTGCACCAAAGTGGGACGAGCATCAGAGTTATTTTGGTAGAGTGTTAACGTCTATATATCCACATTTTCTTCACTTCTTTCCTCTTCTTTCTTCCTGTTCCAGGGTTTTTTTTTTTTTTTTTTTTTTTTTTTTTTTTTTTTACAGGCAGAGTGGACAGTGAGAGAGAGAGAGACAGAGAGAAAGAGCTTCCTTTTGCCGTTGGATCACTCTCCAATGGCTGCCGTTGCCGGC